TGCATATTCCAGATGTCGTGCATTTCCCAGGTGTGGTGCATTTCCTACGTTCTGTGCATTTCCCAGGTGTGGTGCATATTCCAGATGTGGTGCATTTCCCAGGTGTGGTGCATATTCCAGGTGTGGTGCATTTCCCAGGTGTGGTGCATATTCCAGATGTGGTGTGTTTCCCGGGTGTGGTGCATTTCCCGGGTGTGGTGCGTTTCCCAGGTATGGTGCATTTCCCAGGTGTGTTGCATATTCCAGATGTGGTGCATTTCCCAGGTGTGGTGCATTTCCTAGATATGGTGTGTTTCCCGGCTGTGGTGCGTTTCACAGGTATGATGTGTGGTGCATTTCCCAGGTGTGGTGCATATTCCAGATGTGGTGTGTTTCCCAGTTGTGGTGCATTTCCCGGGTGTGGCGCGTTTCCCGGGTGTGGTGCGTTTCCCAGATATGGTGTGTTTCCCGGGTGTGGTTTGTTTCCCGGGTGTGGTGCATTTCCCAGGTGTGGTGCATATTCCTGATGTGGTGTGTTTCCCAGGTGTGGTGCATTTCCTACGTTCTGTGCGTTTCCCATGTATGGTGCATTTCCCAGGTGTGGTGCATATTCCAGATGTGGTGTGTTTCCCAGATATGGTGCGTTTCCCGGGTGTGGTGTGTTTCCCAGGTATGGTGCATTTCCTACGTTCTGTGTTTCCCATGTATGGTGCATTTCCCAGGTGTGGTGCATTTCCCAGGTGTGGTGCATTTCCCAGGTATGGTGCGTTTCCCAGGTGTGGTGCGTTTTGTGGTACTAGTTTCTTCAAGTCAGGGCAGCAGGTGTCAGCACTGATGTTACTCAGAGGCTCTCTGTATCAAAAGTCAGATTGATTCAAAAAACAAATTCTCTTACATTTGATGTAAAATAATGTTTGAAGAGAAAACTGTGGAGTAACAGCAAGTTAAAGATGTTTAAGAGGAGTGTCGGGTTAAACTGACTGAACACATTCACACTCGATCCCGATCGAGGAGGAGTAGTGTGGTGAAAATCCAGACAGAAGAAGAAGAATATAAAGGATGAGGAGTCATAAAGTCTGGACGTGTTGGTTAAAACTATTCATCTCAGTGTTTAAACATGTCTAACTGAATAAAAGCTCGTAACTCATCATAAACACAAAACAGAAACCACGTGATGATGTCAGCAGCTGTCCAAATGCTAACTGCTAACGGCTCGGCTAACTTCCTGATTTATCATAAATAATCATTTGCTATGAAGAGAAGATGTGCGGCGGTTTTTAACATTAAACACGACCATGATGTCACTTCCTGTTGTTTCCGTGAAAATCACCCTGCGTGTTTTGAAATAAAGACTGAAAAGTTGAAACGTTTTTATCCAGGAAATGAACTTTGTTTGATTATTTTGCAGGATGTGAGATTAGAAAGTTTATTTTAAAATGTAATTATGTCTTGAATCTCTTTAACAGAATATAATACAGTTGTTTGTGTGAATATTTGTTCACTGTATTATCAGTAGAGTTATTTGAGGGAAGCTAACCTGCGGCTGTTGACGATCTCTTTCAGATGTATTTTAACTCGACCATCTCCGACAGCACCAAGCTGCTGAAACCCGTCTTGGTTTTTGCCTTCGCCATCGCAGCGGCGCTGACGGGTCTGACCCAGATCACGCAGCATCGCAGCCATCCCATCGACGTGTACGTGGGCTTCCTCATCGGAGCCTTCATCGCTGCTTATCTGGTGAGATCTGAAACTCCTCATGGTAACAAACAGACCTGCTGTTTGAATCATTTTTCTCACTAACTAACTTTGTACGTGTGTTTCAGTCCTGCAGAGTGAAGTCAGGTTTACAGTGAAATGCTTACTCCCTCAGCCTTTGTGTACATACAGCCCACATCACAATAGACCCGGTGCACTCATGTACACTGCATGTCATTTACAGAAAGTGGTCAGTGCACGTGGGAGCGTCAGCTGTTCAGCAGCGGTGGAAAACAAACTGAGTAACCCCGCCCCCTAAAAAAACCCAAAACTTTCAGGGTCTGAGAGGAAACCAAACTCATTAGCAGACAAGGGGAAACCGTTTCATCAGTTTAGGGTTTCAACATTTAAAGATGATTTTTCTTCTTCTTCAGGCTTTTCATGCCGTTGCCAACTTCAAGTCCTCTGATGACATCTCTTCAGTCCCGCCTCCCTTGCCCCCTAAGGAGGACCCTCTGCGAGCACTGACAGAGCGGGGACATGAGTCCGTCTACCACAAGGGCCCCGCCTCCGCCTCAGAGAGTAACGATGAGATAGCAGCAAATCCGGCCCCCATTGACCGGCTGGAGAGCCTGGGGCCCATGCAGAGGGAGAAGGACTCAATGGGGAGCCTGAAGAGGGCCAGCGTGGACGTGGAGCTGCTGGCTCCTCGCAGCCCTATGGGGAAGGAGACCATGCTGACCTTCAGTAACACACTGCCGAGAGCTAGCATGAATGTTAACGGGGTGCTGGGGGCAAACCCAGGACCGGAGGATCTCGTGCAGCCGGTGCAGCCGGTGCAGCGGCGTCTGAAGGCTGTGCAGGTTCCCATGGACCCGATGCGTTCGCAGCAGCTGGTGTCAGAGTGGAAGCAGAAGTCCATAGAGATGAGAGGCCTGAACGTCCGGGACGAGGTGGACCGTGAGGACGGCTCTGAGGGGGGCTCTGAGTTGGGCTCTGTGGGGACAGATGAGGGGGGGTCTCAGGTCCCCATCTACCAGCCCACAGTGCAGTCTGGGAGGGCAGCCTCTAGTCGCAACCCCACACCACCTCCTGGGGGCGCTAAAGCTGTGGCAACTCCCAGACCACCCCAGATCCCTGAAGCAGGACCCCCGCCGGTGTCCCCAAAGAGTGCCCTGACCCGGGCCAAGTGGCTCGCCATCCGAGAGAAAACGAGCGGAGAGGGGTCAGCCCGCGGTGCCACCAACCAGCCACGACTCATGCAGGTCATCGCCATGTCGAAGCAGCAGGGCCTCCTCCCCTCCTCCTCCTCGGGGGAGAAAACCTCTGAGACCACCTCCACCTGCTCCGGCACCTCCTCCACCACTGACTCTCCGCACTATCGCACACCCTCCGAGCAGCAGCGGGAGGGGTTGGGAATCATCACGGTGGATGCCCACGCCCCTCACCATCCTGTCGTACAGGCCCCACACCCTCCTCAAGTCCCGACCCTCGCAGGCAACGGTAACCCGTGGGAGTGGGCGGGGGCGTCCAACGCTGGCGACCCGCGAGACACTTATGACCTCAACAGCTTGAACCGGGGAGACTCCGCCGCCCACGGAAGCAGCTTCAGGCCGCACCGATCCGCCTCGCCACGTGCCGCAATTGACCCCGACCTGGCCCTGCCCCCACCTCACCCCCAGGTGGAGATGTCAGCGGATACTCAGCGCAGGGAGATGGCCATGAGACGCAAGACGGCGCTAGTTCTGTTGGATCGAGAGATTCGTAACCAGACTGAACAGGAGAACTATTACAAGAGCTTGCAGGGACGAAGGTTCAAGGATTAGTCTCACACCTTTCAAAACAAAAGCCTTATTTTGAAACTGGTCAGTAACAGCACAGGACCTGGAGCGCAGTGAGGACCATGATGCAATGCAGTTCTTGGGCTTCATGTGATGGAAAGTTTCCACCCATCAGGGTCAGGCTTGATTCTCTGTGGCTCAACACTCCGGATAGTTTTCTCTCAAAATAAAATGCATCTGTGTTTTAACAGACATCCAGATCTCCTGCAGGATCAGCCCTGTTCATTTGTCCGATGGTGCCCACCACAGAGTGGCACAGTGAAATTTATGGTAAGAAGAAGAATTCAATTTTAAGCATCTTTCATGCAACCCAAAGACACTTTACATACGGAAAACAAGCCAAAACTACACCCACAAAATGCTCGAGTCTTAGGAGTACATTTAAATACAGAAGCTGACTCACATGGTCACATTTTATAGGGAGTGGGTAGATACTGTAGGGTGGAGGGGATGGTGTAGGGTGGGGTGATGCTGTGTAGGTGGATGTTGTGCTGTAGGGTGGGAGTGATGCTGTAGGGTGGATGTTGTGCTGTAGGGTGGATGTGATGCTGTAGGGTGGGGTGATGCTGTGTAGGGTGGATGTTGTGCTGTAGGGTGGGGTGATGCTGTAGGGAGGATGTTGTGCTGTAGGGTGGGAGTGATGCTGTAGGGTGGATGTTGTGCTGTAGGTGGATGTGATGCTGTAGGGTGGGGTGATGCTGTGTAGGGTGGATGTTGTGCTGTAGGGTGGGTGATGCTGTAGGGTGGATGTTGTGCTGTAGGGTGGGGGTGATGTGTAGGGTGGATGTGATGCTGTAGGGTGGGAGTGATGCTGTAGGGTGGATGTTATGCTGTAGGGTGGATGTTGTGCTTTAGGGTGGGTGATGCTGTAGGGTGGGAGTGATGCTGTAGGGTGGATGTTATGCTGTAGGTGGATGTTGTGCTTT